GTAAATCAAATGAATTTAAAAAAGTATCAGTCAATAATTAAAAATTACTCATTGTAAAAAAACAACATTTCTAAAACTAATGATTTAAAATCTTTTTTAATATTCAATTTCTTTACAAAACAACATGTTCGAATAATTATTTTTTGTAGAAGTTTTAACACTCAAACGGTTAGCAGGGATCCTTATAATACCTATCTAGCTGTCCCAAAAACGACGTTTATATGGAAAGTTAGCGTACACATCAAGGTACCCTGTGATGCAAATTTTGAAATCATTTAATTTTGTCCGCGGAAAATAATTTAATTTGAATGTTTAAATAAGTCAAACTTTGACTTCATAGTGCGCCAATAAAAACACTTGTAGAATTTGAACCACTCAATATAATTTGATAAAAATTGGTCCAAATGTAGCCAATAGTCACACCAAACTCTGGACAATTTTTGCCTGATTAGATGATTGGTGTATGATTTATTACAGTTTTAGTTAAAGTTTTGTCAGTTTTTTGCTATTTATACCTCAAAGCGTTACCGATTACTTTAAAATTCGGTCACTATTTTTAAAACAACGGTTACATGAGTGTTCTACTATGTAATACCGACAATTTTTGTTATAATTATTTTATCGGTACATGTACAGCTTTCATTTTATAGACCAAAATAGTAATTTTCTACATAAAGCGTGATTTAAATAGTCTTATGCTTATAGTGTCGACACGGCCTTTAAAGTGGAGGGGTCAACCCCTCAATTTCTAAAATAAAATCCATAATTTCTAAAATAATTGCCTATATTTCTAAAACAAAAGGTCCTCACAAAAAATAAAGTGTGCAGGCCATGGCTCCCTTGACGGTCTTTATTTTGATAGTTTTTAATTAATAATATGTGTTACTATGTTAAGTGAATTGTTATCAAATATAAATTTAAGTCAAGTTTTGTAAAAGGCAGAGTTTGATTTAGTGAAGTCAAATTTAGTGAATTGCCACGATGCCAAATCAAGCAAAGAATCATGATGAAAATCGAAAGTTTGTGTGCTTGCTCTGTCTGAAAAAATGTTTAAAGCAGCTTACTACTTTTCAAGCTGATCGAATATGCCAACTGTACAAGACCCAGATCAATATCAGTGATACTCGGGTACCAAAAGGATTCTGCGAATCGTGTAGAATTACTTTGCGCAGGAAACATGAGGGGAAAGAAGTTGTACTCCCTCCTTCCTTTGATTTTAGTCAATACAAGTGAGACCTGAAACAAGAGGTACGATGTGTTGTTGCCTAATATGCCAAATTGGTCGTTCAAAGCTGCAAGAAAAACATCCTCTTATAGAGCAAACCACTATTGAGAAAAAACCAAAGGTGCATTGCAGCAAATGCCTCAGCCTTTTAGGAAAAGGTTTGCCCCACAAATGCTCTGTAATAATGGTAAAGGAAAACATTCAATCTTTAGGAGCAAAAGATGCCAAATCATCCGAATAAATCGCATCTAGAGTTATTTCCAATTAAGAATTATCTCCGGAAGGAACTCTTCTAGTGGCTAAAGCATCCAGCGGGCCTCCACTTACAGTTACCCAAGGTAAATTTTTATACTTAAATATTTTTAACATATATTTTGAATTAAAGTCTTGAATATTAAGAAATAACACTAGATAGATTTCAAAAAGTATATTTTTGACAAGTTTCTAATTTCTTTAAAAACGAATAATTTGAAAGTTTTACACAAACTTTTTGTTTTGGTTTTAGGTCAAAGTAGTGCGCAGACACCATCAAGTGCTCCAAAACTGACCATTGTAGCCCTTGTAAATGTGCAATTAAATACGGGCCTGTCAAACAACGGATTAAAGAATCTTGTTAGAACGATAAATAAAACATCAATTAGCAATTTGGTAGAGCGAAATTTCTACATAAATTTTCTAAGACTAGGTTAACAATTGAGCAATTTCTTCACCTGCAGCAACTTAAAAATCACAGGCGAAAAAACAGATTCTTGTACAGTTCATGTTGTTGCTCACTGCAATGATTTATTAAGTCTTGTAAATCATGTTATTCAGCCCCGCAAAATTTCTGGTGGCTATTTTGTTAAGCTCGGAATTGATGGTGGCAAAGGTTTTCTCAAGTTTTGCCTAAGCGTTGTTGATACTGCGTTAAGGGATGAAACCAGCTCACCGCACCAACAACAACCTCTCACTCAAAGGACTGGTAAAGACATTGGAGTCAAGAAACAAATTATTGTTGGGGTTTCAGAAGATTTGCCAGAAACACTCCAATATTGAACAAATCTGGTCACTGATTAATGCAAATGGAGTTAAACTAATTTTGGCTTGTGATATGAAAGTTGAAAATATAATTTGTGATCTTCAAACATAAGTTTTACTTGAATAATCAAGTACGCACCATTGCACCTGGTGTGACGTCAAATCCAATTGTCTTGCCAAATCTGGAAACTTGCGAACACTGGGCTCAATTAGTTCAAGCCTTGAGTTTTTTCAGCAATCTGGCGGGGTTGTTGCTAA